TTGTATAAATTGGTCTATCACCGAGAACTAGAATAAATTTTATGTTCTACTAAGAAGATTGTCTGTTTTGTAAATTACTGCAAAATACATTACAGTCTTAATAAATTGGAGGTTCCACCGAGATACTGGAAATTAGGAGTGCAATTATCAATTCGATGGTGCTGGTCTCCTAATCCCAGAAATTTACTGAATTTTTACAACAAGTTTGCTAATACCAATTGCCAAGTTGGAACAGCTTTAGTATAGCCCACCTTCAAAGTTTGGCGAATTTGGTTTGGCGCCAAAGCACATGAAATACGTTGTTTTGAAAAATGGTTGCCATCCAGATTTTCGACGAAACTCCGTGTTTAAAAAAATGGTAGCCATCTTGATTTCACCAGAAATCGTGGATAATAGAAATAATTTTTATTATACACGGTTTAAGAGAAAGATTAAGAATATTATTAAAAAATGATTAAGGAAAAATGTAATTTTTAAAAACAATACCGGAAACCTTTTTAGCTATTTCACCTTTAATAAATAATTTGGTGGGGATGTATTCAATTTCTCATGCTACGCGCTTAATGTATTTTCTCTTAAAAAATAATGAATTTGTTTATTATTGTAAATAACATCAAATTCTTTAAATTTCTGAGCTTAGGCTAACTAAGAAAATAAGTTTATATTTAAATTATCATGATACAGTAAGCGTTACCAGTTATTTACAACGATAAAGAACGTCGCAGTCTCTACAGTTTTCAAAGCTTTAGCATTTATACAAATAAAAAAAAATTTTTTTTTTAATTAATACTCTGGAACATATCAATTTTATCATATTTACAAATTAACGTTTTGCTACGTAACAACATAATCCCTTATATACCAGTAAGTAGACAATTTTCATTATTTTCTAAAAATTTTAAACTTCACATTAATGAAAAACAGGTTCTTAAATTTCTAAATCACATTATATTCTCTGTAGGCAGGCATACTAGAATTCTACACATAAATAAATAAAAAATTTAATTTCTTTCTCGCAATGAAAGAAAATATTATAAGAAATAAATACTACAAATTAGGAACACTAAGCAATGCTTCACATACACACACACATACAGTGTCTCACAAAAGTGATGGGACACTTGTGCTTTACAAAAGGAAACTGTAGTAAAATAAATTTAAAAAAAACATGTAAAAATTTTTTGTGGGTGTGTTTCATACTTAAATTTAGTAACAATTACTACATAACATACATTTTCTCAAAATATTAAAATATCAATTTAATAAAAATACAATTGTTTAGAACGGAGCAAAAAAATGGCTCACATAAGTGATGGGACACTTACTTTTCCATCAAATATTTATCCCAAAAATTTTACTTTATAAAAGGTTTTAATATTTTGTTGGATTTCCTTTTACTTTTAAAACATGATTTAATCTTCTTGGGATGGATTCGACTAATTTTTTTTGCGATTTCTGGAGTGATTTTACCCCATTCTTCTTGAAGCACCGATTTTAATTGTTGTTTTAATTGTCTTTCCTGGGTTTTCTCCACACCAAGATTTTACCGTCAGAATCAAATATATTAAATTTACTCTCATCAAATATAACTTCATTCAGTAATCAGAAGGCCCACCAGCGGCCGACGGTAAAGTCGCTGAACATGGTAGTTCGTCGAGGTTCGAATCCCGCGACGGGCTAGCTGCATGGCCGTTTTCGTGGTTTTCCCCATGTGTAACGTGTATACGACAGTTTCCCTTAGAAAGTCCTCCACGAAGGCATCCCTCTTAGGCAGATAGCCCTCGTGTGCTTTGCCGTATTCTCAATACACACACACTCCAGTAATCAGAATTCTTATTTATGTTGGATTTTGCGAAAGCCAGTCTGAGGTTTCTATTCTTTTCACTCATGAAGAATTTTTTCCTGGCTGCTCTACCGTGATATCCAGCAAATCGAATTACTCTTCCAATAGTCTCAGGATTAACAATTACTCCATATAATGCTTGTAAATCAGCAGCAACTTTGGGAGCACTCATTCTTGGATTTTTTTTAATATTTCGAACGATAATTCGCTTTATTCCATTGGATAGCTTTTGATGGTCGGCCAGGTCTTCTTTATCCTGAATCATATGATTCTTTTTTATTTTTTATATCGTTTAATGATATTAAAAACTGTTGAATGACTCAGGTTAACGGTTTCAGCAGTTTCTCTAATAGAATTTCCACGTTCAATATGCAAATTAATAACTAATTTTCGAATTTCAGGCAAAGTTTCTTTTCGTTTAGCATTCATGGCTGCACAGAGATAAAAAACACAAAAATTCCAAAACAAACTGGAGAGAAATACTGCAGACGATTGCGATAAATTATTGCCAATTGCTTTTGAGTAAAAATAAAAACCCCAAAAAATATTTTTATTGCTTACTTCAGACGATTTTTGTTGCATAGTACGTAGTAGTATCTAATGGTGTCCCATCACTTATGTGAACCATTTTTTGCTCCGTTCTAAAACAATTGTATTTTTTATTAAATTAATATTTTGAGAAAATGTATGTGATGTAATAATTGTTACTAAATTTAAGTATGAAACACACCCACAAAAAATTTTTACATGTTTTTTTAATTTATTTTATTACAGTTTCCTTTTGTAAAGCACAAGTGTCCCATCACTTTTGTGAGACACTGTATTATCAAAGAACTCGTATTATCAAGTGCGATTAGGATTGCAAACACTACGTATTATAATAATGAGGTAAAAGTTACTTATAGGGTCAAAGTTTACAGTTTTGCTACTGTTGAGTAGATCGTCGGGCTATCGATATATATCGTAAGTCGGAAAGCATTATAAACATATCAAAACCAAAACATTAAAATACGATTTAAATGAAAAATGATGTCTTAAATATAATTCACAATTAAACAAAAACAATACAAATTTAAAATACACAAACGATATGTTAAACATTGCATATAAAATACGTTTACATTACAGCTCGTCATTACACATTATCTCGTTTTCCTTTGTAAACAACGATCCGTATTCGCCCGAAAAACATCAAAGCTCGGTGTCCATGTACACATCCATCTATTTCCACCTTAAAAATATCAGAGAATTGCACAACCTCGGCATTGCGCACTACATGGGCTCTGCCCATGTACACATCGATCTATTTTCACTTAAAAAAAAAACATCCTATAACAGCACAAACTAGGCGCCGCGCACAACCTCGGCATTGCGCACTACATTGGCTTTCCCCATGTACACATCGCTCAATTTTCACTTAAAAAAACATCCTAGAATTGCACAAACTAGGCACCGCGCACAACCTCGGCATAGCGCACTACATTGGCTTTGCCCATGTACACCTATGACCAATTAATTGACCAATGCTCTGATGCCTGCCGCAAGACTTTCAAGACAAAAAAAAATTAAAATTCGGACATCAGCCTCATGGTGGACACCCCAATTGTCACAGGAACGGAGCAAACTCAGAAAACTGAGACGGCAAGCTCAATCCACACAGGAGCCAATTGTCCGCAGGACACTCTTCGCCCGTTACAAAATACAACAAGCGCAATATAAGCGACAGATCTTTATAGCCAAGTAAGACTCCTGGCGCGAATACTGCTCTCGCACCGTTGAGAAATACGACAAGGTTTTCAAGATTGCAACCAACAAGGTCTTTAGAACAACACAAATCCCCCTGTCAATAGCTCCAACAGCCACTAGTGCAACCGAAGCAATCAGCTACATACTTAAGTCACTTTTCAAAGAAGACCCACCGACAGATGACAACCTTGCGCAATCAGAGATAAGAACTTCATTCAATAACTTCAGATATCAGACTTCTTTGGAACCCCCTCCTACTAGGCATGAGATAGAGGCTATCGTCAAACACCTAAACACAAAGAAGGCACCAGGCCCAGATGGCTAGACAATGCCGTAATACGCATGATTTATGCTTTTGCGCCTGACCTAGTCGAAGAGTACATCGGTGCCTGTTGAAGAATAGACACTTCCCGAAATCGACCAAAAATGCAGAGGTAGCACTCTTCCATAAAACGGGCAAAGATCCACAACAACCCACATCCTACAGGCCAATATGTCTCATCCCCTCGTTTGGCAAGCTGCTAGAAAGGGTTACTTGGAAGACTAAATTTTTTCCTACAAAGAAACAATTCCATAGACCCCAGGCGATTTGGCTTCCGAGGAGGACTTTCTACAGAACACGCCATCTCCAAGTTAATGAAGTTGACAGAGTGCAACAAGAAGCGAGGGAAACCACTCCTTGATCATTAGTCTGGACATCCAGGGAGCATTTGACTCCCTGTGGTGGCCAGACGTTATACAGGCTTTATCTCAGATGAACTGACCGGCAGAACTACAAGAGCTAATTCATAGTTACCTCAGCGATCGCACACTCCAGTATACGCGAACGATTGGACAGTCAGACATCACCTAAAGAAAGGATGCCCCCAGAGCTCATGCCTTGGACCAGTACTTTTGGTCGAATATTTGCCAACTCAATCTTCAAGGAATTTGATGACAATTGCCAGGACTGTGACATACTGGCCTACGCGGACGACTTCTTGATTATAGTCCATGGAAGATCCAAATTAAAATGACAGCGCAATTCTACCTCGACAAGTTTAGCTTCTGGGCAAGGGACACAAGATCACGATCTCTGCCTCAAAATCCAAGCTTTGCTCATAGGCGCAAAAGATCTCTCAAAAGAAATCCATCCATCAAACTTTATGGCAACCCATCAAGATAGTAAACAACTCAAATACTTGGGCTTAATCATTGACTCAAGGGTTATCCTGGTTTCCGTATCTTCAGTATCTAAAAATAAAAACAGACAGTCTTAAAATTACTGCAGAGAACAGCGGCTCCAACCTGGGGCATTTCATCGAAACTGCTAAACATTGGTATCTCACCGTTACTCAGGCCATAGTTTATACGGATCCGGCATTTGGGCAAAAACATCTAAAGGTACAAGAGAGGCGCCTACTTAACTCACTCCAACGCCCACACCTTTTGCAAATAAGCAGAGGATACAGGACAACTTCAACAGCGGCACTGCAAGTCCTAACAGGAATACCACCATTAGACTTGGTGGCTGAGCGAGAGGCGGCCATCTCCAATACTCTCCGACTTGGGAAAGACTATAAACTCTGGAACAGGAACTTGCATACCTCGGAGTATATGCACAAGATCTTTGACTATCCCTGCCACCCAGCCCAGCATAACCTCGCGGAAAATATATACACGCAGACACTTCTCTGTCGGCAGAACTCAATAGCCATCTACACGGATGGTTCCAAAACAAAGGATGCCATTGGATGCGGCTTATTATGATCGATGGAGAAATCAAATACCGCTGGAAACGTAGACTCAATCCGAACAACACAGTCTACCAAACTGAATTGTTAGCTATTAAAAAAGCAATCGATCTCTCATATGGTAACCAAGAAACTGTCTATATCTATAGTGACTCACTGTCGAGCATAGCCGCCATAGAAGGACCAGCCAGCCGAGACCCCTTCGTACTCAACATACAAAGGGCATTAGTCAACCTCCCACTCAATTATCGTCCCATCATTAGCTGGGTACCAGCGCACACAGGTGTAGTCGGCAACGAGCTGGCGGATGAACAGGCAAAACAAGCGGCTTCGGGTATCTTTCCTGCCAGAAATGCTCTACCTCTGCCTTCCTCTTATCTCAAAAAGATTAACACGCGCGACCTTTACGCAGAATGGCAGCAGAGATGGGGATACTTCCCGGACAGGTCGAAGGACGTATAAATTTATCCCAAAAGTTACACCTTGTCTTCTCCAACTCATCTTCATTGACTACGTTCCTCTCTGGGCACGGCCCGTTTCTTGATTACCTACACAGATTTGGACTTAGAGACTATGATCTCTGTGAATGGTGGACTAATCGGAACGCCAGACCATTATGCATTTACATGCAGATTGACAGAGGCGCACCACTGGGTCCTCCTTCATATTAGATATTGG